TCTCACATATTCAGAATAAACCGATCCCTGTGCTTTTTGTGCTGACAGAACCTTTCTTTCTTTCCTTCTTTGTCTTCCTCTCAGTACGTATAACTTCGGCGCTGATGGTTTCCACGCAGCGGCCACCAGCGCAAATCTATGTCTGGCCACAGGCGTGCGGGGGGGCGTGGACTGGATGAGAAAACTGGCTTTCCGCTACAGAAGAGTAAAAGAAATCTACACCACCTACAAAAATAACGTCGGAGGTAATCCCCAACATGCAGAGAGAGAGTGGTGTGTGTGTGTGTGTGTGTGTGTGTGTGTGTGTGTGTGTGTGTGTGTGTGTGTGTGTGTGTGTGTGTGTGTGTGTGTGGTGTGTGTGTGTGTGTGTGTGTGTGTGTGTGTGTGTGTGTGTGTGTGTGTGTGTGTGTGTGTGTGTGTGTGTGTTCTAGCATTACTATACTTGTGGGGACCTACATCTGTTTACACAGTCACGTGTGGGGACTCGCCTCCCTTATGGGGACAAAATGGAGGATCCCCATGAAGGGGATCATTCATTTTAGGGTGAAGACTTTGTTAGGTTTAGGATTAGGGGTAGGTTTAGGGTTAGGGTTAGGGTTAGGCATGTGTTGGTTATGGTTAAGGTTAGGATAAGTCTCCAGGAAATGCATGTAAGTCAATGTAATGTCCCCTGAAGTGATGTATACATGGTATGTGTGTGTGTGTGCGTGTGTGTGCTGGTATTCTTATATGTGTGTGTATGGTCTAAAAGCACACATGCCACAACACTTGGTCAGGGTGAATTTTGTAAATTTCAGTGGTATTCGGAGTGCCGGTCCAACCCAAACAATGTTCCCCTGCGTTTCAGGTCTGCTGGGCCCGGCCAAAAGAGAAGCCTGGTTGCAATTGCGAGCAGAAATTGAAGCCTTGACGGACTCCTGGTTAACACTGGCACTGAAAGCACTAACATTAATCCACTCAAGGTAGGACTCCACGGAGGAAAATTGTACCCAGTCCCACACCGCACGTATATAAACTCACATGTGGTGTAAATAATTCCAGCTCCGTATTCCCGAGGAAACGCCAGTGCTCTGATTTCTTATTTTGAGAGAGACTTTCCTTTGTCCTCCCTCACACTGATTTATGAAGCTGTGTGTCCCCAGAGTCAGAACTAAACGTGGAGAAGTTCAGTTATTATGCTCCAATCTAAAAGATGTCAATACGTTAGAAATATCACATCTCACACTGTAACTTTTATTCATGTGCCTTTTGTTATTCATGTTTTATTATCTTTGCTTTTAAAACTCATTTAAATGCCATTTTATAATATGCTTCTTAATGTCTTTCATTTTTCATCACCAGGTAGATTGACACGTACGAGGAATTTGACTTGATGTCGTGGTGCATACATAAAAGTAAAACAAAAACAAAAAATTAAACCTACAGATAGAGAACTAGAAAAATATTAAAAATGTAAACAATTATTTAAAAAAAGATTCAAGATAATTCAAATAATTCAAATATAGTCAAAAATATAACAGTATTTACATGGAAATGGAATGGAATAAAATATGGAATAGAAATCGGCAGTGCTGTATAAATAAACTTGCCTTATATTATATGAAATTACAATACAATGCATTACATGCATCTGATTAATCCAAAGATACCCCACGACCATCACTTAATGCTTCCTTTTCATGCTCGCTTAACGCTTTGACTTTGACTGATGCATCTGTGTTTCTCTGCAGGTCTAACTGTGTGAACATCCTGGTCACCACCACGCAGCTCATCCCGGCGCTCGCCAAAGTCCTGCTCTACGGCCTGGGGATCGTCTTTCCCATCGAGAATATTTATAGTGCAACCAAAATAGGTACTGATTTGATGAATCCCTCTGCTTGTTGTTGTATTTCGCTGAGTGAAAGGAGCAGAGACACACAGTCTGAGAGACTCAAAGAAGTGACAAGGAAACATCGACAGAGACATTAAAAGACAACTGAAGGAGGAAGAGCAGAAAGGGGCTGAGAAAGACTTTAGAAAGGGGACAAACTACAACGAGACACAAAGCTACGACAAAAACATAACAAGCATTGAAAGCCACCACGTAGAAACGATGGCCTTCAACCTGCAACATGTCTCCAAAAACAAGTTAAACAACAATGAAAACATGGTGTTTTCACGTGAAATAAGTCCAAACATCTGCCAATAGAACAAGTGAGAATTAACTTGGTGAGAATCCTTGAAATAAGACGGGATATTTAGATAAGTCTGATCTTGTAATCAGCTGGAGATTCATTTAGAACTATATTTCACCAGAATCAGGAAGTGTTATAATAGTAATTAGTTGGTGATTTTCTATTAAATCTAAATAAAAGATATAACTCAAAATCAGATGTTTTGACTCAACAAGATGCTGCATTGTAAACAAATACCCTATATCTCACTGCAGTGTTACCTCTGAAGTCAGTGGGTCGTATATCAGGAGTAGAGACATACGTATACTGGGCAAGACTTCCAGTTTTTGTCGTGCAAAATGATTTGATGAACCTCTGTGGGACGTGAGTGCTTGTTGTTGTATTTCTCTGAGTGTAACGAGCAGAGACACACCTCTGTGTTCGGGTCGGACACACCGTCACCGGAGAGCGTTCATGTTCCCTTTCTGAAGGAATCGGACTAATCAGCCTGGGATTATTTTCCTGCAGCGGGGCCTCCTGTTCAGGCTCTGCATGTGAAACCACTTCTGCACATTTATGTCATTCCTCAGCAACAACACCCCCCTCTTTTTCTTCTCAAACTCTCCCCCGTCCTCTTCCTCCCGTCCTCCCCGTCTTCACTGTTTCAAATGCAAAGTAAACATCAAGCTTCACCCCCGCTTCTTGTAGAGTTAAAGGAATAACTCAATTTCCCACTCCCTATAACCTTGGATTATTCAGAACAACTTTTCTCGCATGTCTAGATGAATCAGAAACCCCCAAATAGAGGCCTCTTTTATTCGTCAAATGCACGATAGCTAAACGTTGGATGGCAATGGATTAATTCAATATACTTTACATAAAGGAAAATAGACAGAATTGTCCAATAATGTTTAAAAATAACAACAGATAACTCACACACAACGTCTGCAAGGATAAGTAATCCCAAGCAAGTGAAAGGTCTAGAAAAATCCATACAAAATAAGAAAAGTCTTGATGAAATGAAGTAAATAAGAGCAGCGTTTAACAACAACAACAACAACAAAGGATCTGTTAACTGACACAATTGCTCTATTAAAAACCTTGCTTTTTAAAACCCTTCCAGCCACAGCTCGTTCATGCAAGTACTTCTTTTTGGTGAAAGTGTTTTAAATAGTGCGATTCTCCTCCTTGTTTGAATTCACCATCAGCATGAAGACCCACAGAGAGGACACTTTCATTCCTCTAATGCACAATAGCTAAAATGGTGGATGGCAATGGAAACAATGCAACATACAAAATGTACACAATTGTCCAATAATGTTTAAAAATAACAGCAAACTCACAGTCTTGATGAATTAAAGTAAATAGGGGCAGCATCTAACAACAAAGCATCTGTGAACACACACAATGTTCTTCACACACACTACTTCATTAAAAGCTTTTTAAACACTCGTTCCTGCTCGTACTGGTTTTAAGTGTTTTAAATAGTGCGATTCCTCTCCTTGTTTGAGTTTGAATTCACGATCAGGCATGTCAGAGAGACCTCTTGAAGGCTTCAGGGTAACACAGGGTGGATAACAAATGGTCCCTTTGGGGGTCCTCTCCAGACCCTGCATCAGTGATGTCAGCTGATTTAGGTCCATTTGTCTCGGGGGTTTGAGCACCAGAGCAGAGTCGATGCTTTTCAGATCCTCTATCTGCTCTCAGATCTTATCACGGCTCCTCAAAGTGTTTACTCTGCACTCTTCTGTGTGTGTGGTGTTTTTAAAGGGGGCTCTTGTCACCCTGTGCCTTTGAATCAACTCGTTTTGTTTGCATCCCCTGAACGCACCACTGACATCCTGCTTCTCCCCCTCTTCTTCAGGGAAGGAGAGCTGCTTCGAGAGAGTCATCCAGAGGTTCGGGAGGAAAGTTGTTTACATTGTCGTCGGAGACGGTGTGGAAGAGGAGCAAGGCTCGAAAAAGGTAAGAACGTTTGGGAACGAAGCAGAAACACATAGAAGTAGTTGATCGCTCCTCATAAGGTCAGGAGTTCAGAGCACTAAACATACCTGCCGTGTTTTAAGGAAGAAGCCAGCTCTTACTTTAATCCGCTGATCCTCTTATGAGGCGTTCGAGTACAAGAGAAAGTCTGAAGTGTGTAATCAGCGCTTTTCTCTCCGCCATCTCAGGTTTAAAAAGCGAGGGGGAGAACCGGCATAATTATATATGTCCGCTCGCTGAATGCTGTGTATGTAATGCCTCGCGAGCCCTTCCAGCCACATCGTAAATAAAGGAGGCTTAAATCATTGTTGATGAAATTAGAATATGTACGGCCGTGTCACGCCTGTCAGCAGACGATGCATCCCACACGCCGACAGCAGTGTCAGGAGAGAGGAATCTGTTTGGATGCAAACCAAGTGTTTGAAAAGCCTCCAGCTCCTTTTTGTTTCTCGGTAAACAAGGAGAAGAAGACGGATGAGGAGCGATTAGGAAGCTACCTTTCAGTGTAAAGTTATAGCTCTGTACTTTTCGAGCTGAACACACCCTGGGAATATGGTCCTCTGGGAGCAACAATGATGCACATATGTTCACTCAGCATGGAGTTGTTGGAGTGTGACATTGATGGGAGGATAAGGCGTCTGAGTGCGAGTCCCACGACACGCCATGCGGTAAAAGGTTTCTGTGTCAACATCAGAGAGGACGTGGAATAACACGACAATTTCAGCCGTCAGGAGCCTCACATCAGAGCCGACGGCGAGAGGAACTACAAACACTCATTCCTCTGAGAAAAGAAAAGCGCTGAAACAATTCAGTTATTACCGTCACCCGGCAGAGATAGCATCTGCCGCTTTTAAACTTAAGAGCAAAGACGATTTACAAAACAAAAAGCAGAGCTGTTCAGGGGTCAGTGCAGGCGCTCCTGAGCGGAACATATTCCTGGGAGAGGCCTTACCTTTGATAAGGGGGAGAAAGGGGGAGGGTATGGGGGAGTAATGGGCTCCACACACTGAGGATCTACCTGACAAGCTCCTTTCATGCTCAGAGACTCAGGTTTCCTCTCGCTCTCTGCCCGGCAGCAGCAGCTCTCTCGTCCCAAACACACAGCCTGAGGGGGTCAACCCTGAAACTCAAACTACACTTTTGGGTTTCTTTCACTATTTATTGACTTTTTTTTTCAAGCATTTATTTAGAGGAAATTACAAAGTACCGGTATGGATAATGTAGAAGAGAAAAAACAACAAAGAATAAAGAAATTAAACCTTTTTTAACACTTTTTTATTGGATTTTTTCAAACAAAAATACAGAATCGAATATTTACACATGTGAAGAGGAGCTGTGTGTGTGTGTGTGTGTGTGTGTGTGTGTGTGTGTGTGTGTGTGTGTGTGTGTGTGTGTGTGTGTGTGTTGTGTGTGTGTGTGTGTGTGTGTGTGTGTGTGTGTGTGTGTGTGTGTGTGTGTGTGTGTGTGTGTGTGTGTGTGTGTGTGTGTGTGTGTGTGTGTGTGTGTGTGTGTGTGTGTGTGTGTGTGTGTGTGTGTGTGTGTGTGTGTGTGTGTGTGTGTGTGTGTGTGTTATAACAAGGACTACAAACCATCATGGCACCCAGTAAAAGACTACAAACCCCACAGTGAGCAGGGTCAGCTTGACGGTTGGTGCCCAGGTGGAGCAGATGAGCTGATTGACCCAATTAGAGAGCATAAAGGGGGAGGGAGGGGGAGAGAGGGGCAGGGAGACGGAGAGAGAGAGACGAGCAATGAGAGGAGCTGGGGTTTAGTGTGTTGCACTGAAGAAGGTTTTGATTAGTTTGCTAAGAAATATGTCGGCATGTCATGAGGAGACGAAAAGCTTAAGTAGGAAGACAGCATTTCCTGCACACACACCTCCAGGCCTCCAAGAGAAAAGACACTCCTCAATAAATCACTATATAGAAAATATAAGATGTGATTGTTGGTGAAACAAACAGATGATATACGATAACATACATTGACTGTTTTAGCTGTCCCTGCGGAAAGACGGGCTGAAAGCATGGCCTGGTCTCCAAATAAATGATGTTTCCAATACTATAAAACTCTGGTGTTATCTACAGTTCAAGAGAAGCTCAATAATTACTTTTATTTGATTTATTACAAAACATTTCTAATCTAAGTCTGGGGAAATCTGATGGCTCAAACAAACCCATGCAAAGAAAATGAAAGACGGGTCGAATATAACTTATTTTAACGTATGTAAAGTACTTGAGTTACGGAAAAACAAGTCCTTACATTGAAATGTCGTTTGGAGCGATGCTGTCAGGAGAGAGAATTATAAAGTACAACACTGACAATCTTTAAAAATGGTGGAATATGATGAAACGAATGCACTGAATAAACGCCGTAGTGTCCGGGTTCGAGTCATAAGATTTCTATACTGTATGTGCATTAAAACCTTTGAATCTTGAGTACTGGAAGCATGTGACGCCAGTTTCATCTCAGATCAACCGGACAGCTCAAACGGGAATTTAACCCATGCAAAAAAGGAAAAGTCAAAAGATAACTTATTTGTGTAAAGTACTTCATATGAATACACTGAGTAGTGTCCAGTACTGGGAGCATGTGAAGCCAGTATCTTTGTGTTTAAAGTTTTTATTTCTAATTAGGCATCTACAGAAGCGCTCCAAATGACATTTCAATCTGAGTACAAAAAGGTAAATTAGTAGAATATAATGACACAGAATATGAAGTCATGTGAAGCCAGCATCGTTGTCTCTGACCCTAAAACCTCTCCAATAAAGTGCTTTCTCTCTCCCTCCCAGCACAACATGCCCTTCTGGAGGATCTCCAGCCACTCAGACCTCATGGCCCTGCACCACGCTCTGGATCTGGAGTACTTGTAGCACTGCGGAGCCTCTTTCTCCACCTTCATCATCATCATCATCACCTCCTGCAGAGAGAGCCCCCCTGTGGAGAGGAGATGGTGGATGTGCTGACATACGGTCACACTTCGTCTTAACCCCGAACTCTTGTTTTTTTGTTCGTTCCTCTGGAGGCGAAAAGGTGGATTTACGGCGCTGCAGCTGCTCGCCATGGTTACTGTGAATGAGCCGCTCTCTGAAAAAGCTGTCAAAGTGTTTTACGGCAACTCCGTTGGTGCCGGGACTTTTCGAGGTTTTCACACCTGTGAGGAGAGCTACTCCACGTTTAACTAAAAACTACTGGAGACGTCTCTTTCTGTCGCTCGACTTCTTCTCCTCCACGAGTCCTGAGCTGGTTATTTATGGGCGGAGACTTTTTGTGCGGGAAGGTACCTCGACGACACAAGACTTTTTACAAAGTACCCACAGCGAGGAAGGAAGGAGAAAAGAAAAAAGGGGGTTTTCTAATAATTTAAGAAAATTACAACGTTATTTACAATGCTGAGACAATCGTGTATAGAGGAACTCTTTTTGTGTGTGTAAGTTTGTAATCACTGGACTATTCCTTCCTATATTCATTTAGGTATGAAAGGTGGCTTTTTCATTGAAGTTTAAACAAATATTAATATTAATAATAAAAAGACAGGAGCTGGAAGTGTTGATGTGTTCACCGTTTGCTCTGTAAACACATGTGTAGGTTAATTTGTGATAAACCGTTTTGTCCAGACCAAACGCATGGGTGTGGAGACTTCAGTCTGCAACACATTTCAAGTTTGATCAGAAAGGTCCTTCTGCATTTCAGCCGCTTGCAGCCCCGTTTATTTAAAGTGAAAAGGTCCTGCCTCCTGGGAGCCACTAAACACATCTGAGATTCACAAAAGCAGGCTTGAATAGGTTTTATTATATTTTATACAAGCGCTATAACAACTCTTGTACAGCGAGCGTAATTTTGTATGACGTAGTGTTTTTATTTTACATTCTGTGTCCCTTCTTCTTCTGTGGTGTCGAGAGAAAAGCCACTAACCCTGGGAGGTGTGTGAACAAACAGGACATGTGCTGCGACTGTGAATTTCTTAACGGGAACACACTCGCTGTGTTTCTGACGTTTCCTCCTTTGCACATGATCACTGTTGGCCTTTTACATTTCACTTAGGACCCCCCCCCCCACACACACACACACACACACACACACACACACACACACACACACACACACACACACACACACACACACCCCGTCTTCTCAACACGTCTACATGTTGCTGCTAGATCAAGGTAATGGTAGGTAAACTAGAGGAAATGTTTTATAGATTCATACAGCACGCTTTTTTTTATTATGTTGCAATCATAAATGCAAACTGGAAACACTTCGTGGGCCTCATTGTGAAACGCTAAAGATTGTTGTGTCTGCAAAATATGTGTACAGATGTTTTTGACATTATTATTTGATTGTGTTTAAATTAATAAAACTAATTTGTGAACTGTAACACGACGCCCTCTGGTTTATTGTACTGAGTTTAAAGCGAAATATCATTTAGTGTCTCTACTGCAGTGGCTCTGTCGGCCCCCAACACAAATAGTCACGTAATGGGCCAAGTTAACATTTATTAAAATACATCAATATGAACGTGAGCATTCCTATGCTCGAGCAGTGATAATCAAACAATGCTCCATAAGTCTGTGTGCTCAAAAAAATAATACAATTGTGCCCTTTGCTCGAACAATAAGTTATAATACTTAGTGGCTGCAATGAGCCTGTTCTGCACTGCACGTGTCTTCAGACCGGGGTCGCAGGCTCAGTGGCGGCGGAGAGATTTCTTTTGGGGGTGCTGCGGGGTAGCTTGACGTTTCATAGAGGGTGCTCAAACATGTAGGGTTTCCCATTAAGGTACCGGGCGCTACAGAGGAACTGCAACACTCCCCACACACACAGTGTACCCGCGACTGTTACAATGAAGGCTCGATAATCAGCTCACGGCATATAGGTGTAAGCAGGGGGTAACGTGCAGTTTTTATAGGTGGTTTTAAGTTAAAAGAAGTTGAAAGCATCAATCTGGTGCACTTTGAGAGCAACATGAAGAGATCTATGGATACATCTCTCAACACCCATTTGAAACAGAACTGTAAACAGATTTTTCTTTATGGATATTTTACAAATCACTCTCCTTTTAAACTGTATTCTTGTTTTACTGTCATATAGTATTTCATACCTGGTTTTCATTTATTCTCTTATTTTTGTATAACTATAATGATCATATAAACGTGTTCCTCGGAAATAATTGTTTCCATTAATGGTGACCAAACCGTTTGAGACCCACTGAGATAACTTAGACTAAAGTTAACTATCTAACCACTCAGAGTCCTTTAGCTCGCTGAGCCTCTCAGTCTGAGAGGAGAGGACTCTCCTCCACCTTGTTGAAGAAAAAGCTCTTTATATCCGTTAGCGTAGCTCGCTAGCACCAGAAGCTAACAACAACGATTATCTGGTAACCATTTTTCCTCCTGCTCTCTCGCGCCCCCCCTGTCATGCCTCTGCGCCCCCCACTATGAGAAACACTGCTCTACTGGGACATGTCTCCATGCTTTAACGTTCAAAAAGTTCTTTATTTTTCTCATACTGCCTGTGCTGCAGGCTGGTTCTGTTGTGATTGGTCAGTGATGTCCCGCCCCCTTAGCGCTAGCCAATAGGAGCGTGAGTGTTCGGTAGTGATGTCACTGGGTTCCGGAACTAAACAAAAACCACTTTAAATCAACAGGTACAAAAACACAGGGTGAATACAGGTATACTTAAGTAGACATTTTCAACATTAAAGTATTTAAACGTGTTCATTTGAAACCCAAAATTAAAGTTTAAAGCTGCTGTAGCATATATGTCCCGTAGATGAAGACATTTAATTAAAAAAATACTTTCTATTCTATTTTTTAACCCCTTTTCATAGTATGTTATTAATAGTGGAATATCTTTACTATCATCCCCCACTGATGTCACAGGCCTCAGCTACTAATCCCAGCAGGAAGCAAAGAGAAACTGGAGCTGGTCCGAGTCTAGACAAAACAACATTACTACCCCACCCCAGATACAAATAAAACACCTTTAAAACAAGCTTACATCTGAACGATAGAGACTTTTATATTTGAAACAACTTATATGCTTTTAATGCATTTCATCTCTTAGGGTATTTTTCATTTTTCATGCTGGGTTTTCTTGATAGCCTCCTGATGTTTGTAATCGTCTCTTCCCTTTCCTCCGTGTGTAATCAACATATCAAACCACTCCAAGTCAAGTTAGTTTAAATAACACATGAATATTACTTATGATTTCACGAGGTGGTCGCAGAACGTAAACGTATCCTGGACGGGAGAAGAAAGTGTCCGGCCTCCAAAACCACGTTGGAGAATTAAACAAGCGAGCGAAGATGGAAAAACACACATCCTTTCCTCGAGTAGAAGTACAGATACTCGTGTTTAAAAATACTCTGGTAAAAGTAGAAGTACTGACTAAACTTCTTTACTCAAGTGAAAGTAAAGAACTTTGAAGTGTACTTCAGTAAAAAGTACCCATAACTAGCAGCTGCTTTAAAGAGTACCTGACCTCCCTTTATATTAATAGAACAATAATGTCATTGTTAGCTAATGAATGTTTCCATGCTGAACAACGGCAACATGACAACGTTTCCATTGGTCCCTCTTCTTTAGAGAAGACCAGGAAATGATGGATACACGGATCGTGTTCAAATCAATAGGCACGCAATGACTCTAAAGAATAATGATCACGCATCAAACACACATTCAGACTAAAGGAACCAGCTGTTTGGAAAATGAGAGAAGTAGAAAGTACAAGTATTTGAGTTCAACATGTAAGAAGTAGAAAGTACAGGTATTTGGGTTCAACATGTAAGAAGTAGAAAGTACAGGTATTTGGGTTCAACATGTAAGAAGTAGAAAGTACAGGTATTTGGGTTCAACATGTGAGAAGTAGAAAGTACAGGTATTTGAGTTCAACATGTAAGAAGTAGAAAGTACAGGTATTTGAGTTCAACATGTAAGAAGTAGAAAGTACAGGTATTTGTGTTCAACATGTAAGAAGTAGAAAGTACAGGTATTTGAGTTCAACATGTAAGAAGTAGAAAGTACATGTATTTGAGTTCAACATGTAAGAAGTAGAAAGTACAGGTATTTGAGTTCAACATGTAAGAAGTAGAAAGTACAGGTATTTGAGTTCAACATGTAAGAAGTAGAAAGTACAGGTATTTGTGTTCAACATGTAAGAAGTAGAAAGTACAGGTATTTGAGTTCAACATGTAAGAAGTAGAAAGTACAGGTATTTGAGTTCAACATGTAAGAAGTAGAAAGTACAGGTATTTGAGTTCAACATGTAAGAAGTAGAAAGTACAGGTATTTGTGTTCAACATGTAAGAAGTAGAAAGTACAGGTATTTGAGTTCAACATGTGAGAAGTAGAAAGTACAGGTATTTGTGTTCAACATGTAAGAAGTAGAAAGTACAGGTATTTGAGTTCAACATGTGAGAAGTAGAAAGTACAGGTATTTGAGTTCAACATGTGAGAAGTAGAAAGTACAGGTATTTGTGTTCAACATGTAAGAAGTAGAAAGTACAGGTATTTGAGTTCAACATGTAAGAAGTAGAAAGTACAGGTATTTGAGTTCAACATGTGAGAAGTAGAAAGTACAGGTATTTGTGTTCAACATGTAAGAAGTAGAAAGTACAGGTATTTGAGTTCAACATGTAAGAAGTAGAAAGTACAGGTATTTGTGTTCAACATGTAAGGAGTAGAAAGTACAGGTATTTGTGTTCAACATGTAAGAAGTAGAAAGTACAGGTATTTGTGTTCAACATGTAAGAAGTCAAAGTAAAAAGTTGTCAGAAAAATAAGTAGTGGAGTAAAGTACTGATACCAGAAACATGTACTTAAGTACAGTAACGAAGTATTTGTACTCCAATACTTCCTACCTCTTCATGCGAGGAATTTTATTTCAAGCCACACGGCCCCCATTTAATATCAAGATGAAGTGTGTGTGTGTGTGTGTGTGTGTGTGTGTGCGTGTGCGTGTGCGTGTGCGTGTGTGTGTGTGTGTGTGTGTGTGTGTGTGTGTGTGTGTGTGTGTGTGTGTGCCAGGCTGGACAGAAACACTCCACCGCGGGAATGTGCCGGCACAATGAACCCTAATGTGCTTTTCCACTTCCGAACAGCTGAAAGAGTCGAAGCGTCTGAGGTCCAGAAAGGAGCTCTGTTCTCGTGATAAGTTTTCCTGATGCTCACAGACCTGGCAGACAAACTCAGACACAACCAGACATTAAAGAAAGAGAAAGTGGGTGTGGGTGGCCACAGAGGGGAATACAAAATAAGAGTTGGATTGTGTCTGTTTGGCTTAGAATCCTCGAGCAGAACTTTTATTTTCATCGGGATTTATCTGCTAATGGCATCCTTTAAATCTGCATAATAACTGATAGAAAACACCTTGTTCTCCTGATTGATCCCTGTGTTTAAGCCACAGAGATCATCTGTTGCATTTATTTATTTTATTTAAAGGACAGTGCACATTAATCCACATTGCTGTAAGTGAGCCAGTATTAGCCAGCAGGCTAGTTTTCAACTGTTGTCCTTGGCAAGATGTTAAATGACCACAACAAGACTAGAGAAATAAAAACATAATTAAATAGAGTACAGCAGACAACAGCAGTACAACAATAAATAAATAGCAGTACAACAATAGAGAGGAGCAAACAGATGAAATATCATCATACCTTGATACAGTTAAAAGTGTTCACCTTTTTTGATTGCTTAAAAGCATGATAGGAGGTGTTATTCCTGATCTGCATTGGTGTTGTGTTCCAGAGTGTTGATGCCCTCACAGAGAAACAGTGTTTACCAAAGGAGCTGGACCTAAGAGGGACTACACAGTCCCCTCTTAGGGCAGACCTTGTGGTTCTGCTGTATAAAAGTGCAGAGTAGTGGGGGTGCCTTGCCGTTTAGAATTTTTAAAATGAGACATGCGTCGGTGTGTTTTAAAATATTTTCCCAGCTGAGTAGGTTATGTTTGTCCAGGATTTTGCAATGGTGGTATAGCTTAGGTTTTCTGTCCAAAACTTTGAGAGCTTGTTTGTGAAGTGATAGGATAGGCCTTAATGTTGTGCTATTCACCTGGGTCCAGCTGGTTCACCTGGGTCCAGCTGCTCATACAGTATGTTAGGTCATTGAAGTAAACAAAGGAGTCCAAAGGAGGCGTTTCAGGCACAAACACCTATAACACATTTTTACTTTCTACTTCTTACATGTTGAACTCAAATACCTGTACTTTTTACTTCTTACATGTTGAACTCAAATACCTGTACTTTCTACTTCTTACATGTTGAACTCAAATACCTGTACTTTCTACTTCTTACATGTTGAACTCAAATACCTGTACTTTCTACTTCTTACATGTTGAACACAAATACCTGTACTTTCTACTTCTTACATGTTGAAC